AGGAATAGAATCCTCAACTGGTTTACGCTCAGCTTCTCCATCGCGATCTGGTGCCCCCACACTCGATGCATGCACAGCCGGATCCCTTGTAGGCGGGTAAGCATCCTGGTCCGCTTCGGTTGTCGGCAAGTCTATTGAACCACTTGGCACATTGCACACTGCACCGTTGCCGTCGGCAGCGGGTTTCTCAACAGCGTCTCCGTGTAAAGAGTCTTCCTCGGCTGGCTCTCGAGTTGCGGTCGTAGCCGGGTGAGCGCTGGTAGTTGAGGTGTCACGCTCGGAGTGACCTTCGCCGGCTGCTGAAGCTCCAACTGGCTCGTGCTCCATTTCGTTGTTATCAGCACCCTTGCCCACATCTGATCTCTGAGAACCCTCGCCCAAGCCATCGGCGTCAGGAATGTCGGTAGTTTGGAATGACTCGGTTGGCAGCATACCTGCATGATCATGGATCAGCACGTTGGATTCCTCGGCTCGGTTCGGCACATGTGGTCGATCAGCGCCCTTCTCGTTTGAAGAGCCTTCACCGTCAAACGAGTGCACCGAGGAGGACGCAAGAGGAGCGCCGTCAGTGGTGGCTTCTTCAACAGTCTCTTCGTGTGACGAACCCTCACCAGCAGCCTCCTGAGTTGTGGTAATGGTCGGGGCGTTGTCCTTAGTGGAAGTGTTCTGCTCCACAGGCAAGGAGAGATCTGCGGGAGGAATTGAGTCCTCAACTGGTTTACGCTCACCTTCTCCATCGCCATCTGGTGCCCCCGCAGTCGATGCGTGCACAGCCGGATCCTTTGTGGGCCGGTGAGCATCCTGATCGGCTTCGGTTGTCCGCATGTCTACTGAACCGCTCGCTACATTGCACACTGTATCGTTGCCCTCGGCAGTGGGTTTCTCAACAGCGTCTCCGTGTAAAGAGCCATCCTCGGCTGGCTCCTGAGTTGTGGTCGTGGCCGGGTGAGCGCTGGTGGTTGAGGTGTCACGTTCGGAGAGACCCGCGGCGGCGGCTGAACCTTCAACTGGCTCGTGCTCCATTTCGTCGTCATCAGCATACTTGCCGACATCTGATCTCTGAGGAACTTCGGACAAGCCCTCGGCGTCAGGAATGTCGCTAGTTCGGAATGACTCGGTTGGCGGCATACCTGCATCAGCACGAATCGGCACGTTCGATTCCTCGGCTCGGTTCGGCACGTCGGGTCGGTCGGTAGTCTCCTCGTTTGAAGAGTCTTCACCGTCAAACGTCCGCACCGGGTAGGAGACAAGAGGAGCGCCGCCAGTCTCTTGAGCTGTGGTAGTGGTCGGGGCATCGTCCTCAGTGGAAGTGTTATGCTT